CGCTTCTCCCATTTTCAATAAGTCTTTTGTTTCAGCTTTCTTAAAGCGTTCTTTTAGTCTATTTTCTTTTTGTTCAATTAATTTTATTTCTGCCTCTTGGGTTTTGAGTTGTTCTTGCTGTTCTGGAGTGAGTTCATTCATATTTTCAGTACTTTTTAAAGTATTAATTTTGTAAATGGTTGCTTTTCTCATTTCTAATTGCTTCATTTGATTATCAAAATTTTTTTTAGCATTCATTTTTTCTTTCTGACATTTCTTTTCTAGGATTGCTGGTTCTTCCTTACCAACTTCCTGTAAAAAATTCTTGGCGTTGGTAACATTAAGACTTCCACTCTCAGTGATATATCCTCCGTGTGGTAAAAATTCTCGATAAACTTTCATTAAAAGATCAACTGCTCCATCTCTAATATCTAACGATGGAATATGTGGTAAAAAGTCATTTCCAACTAAGAAACAGAAGAAAATAAAATCATCCACACATCTTTCAAATTCAAATCCCTCTACTTTTAGTGTAATTTGAAGATATCCACGAAGGATATGACAATGAAGAAATTGGAATGGTTTTATAATAGTGTCCATAGCACCAACCTCTTTTCTACGTTGACATTTATCTGGGGGATGAACTCCATTACAAATGTAACATCGATCATCTTCAAAAAATACTTTTTCTCTAATAATACTGAAGAACCGTTCATGGGTTGCAAGAGATAACATAATAAGATCAGCATCTAATCCATACATACAATGATGAGTATTTGGGTTATAATCTGGTGACTCTTTTTGTCTTCTAATAAAATCCATAATTTTATGCTCTCCTTCGCCTGGTACACCAGAATCACTTAAAATAACAACAAGTTTATTCCAATAACTCGATTGACTCATTCTTTCTTTTATATATTTCTTCAATGTTTTAGAAACTACTGACATAAATTCTGTACCAGGAGTAATACAATTCGAATCTAATGGTTTTACATAAGGAACTTCAGGTAATCCATTCATTAATCTTTTTTTGTTATCTTCTGCTTGTCTAAGTTCTGCATTTTCTGCATCTTTTGCTGATTTGAATCTACGACTTCTTTGTTGATTCATTTTTGCTCTTGGTGCAACTCCATCAACAGCAAGATACAATAATTTTCTAGGTCTGACAATGTCAATAATGTAATCTAAATATCTAGTTAATAATACCATCATGTCTTCTATTTTTTCAGGTGATTGTCGGTCTTGTGGATGGAAACAAGGATGAATTAATCCATTCATATCAATGTAAAAATTATCATATTCAACCCCACTGGCATTTGGTTCATTTAGATCTCCATACTTCTCTTGGGAAGATGGTTTACAGTCAACAATAATTTTTGGAAATCTTTGCTTTAACCATCTAAAGAATGACGGAACTCCCATTGACCCTTTCAAGTTCAATTTTAGGTTTAAGTCTTTTTTTCTCGTTTTATTTTGTGTTTTATATATCAAAGCTATTTTAATTGGAATGAAAGATATTATTTTTTTGTTACATTCATTTTTGTTTGTTTTTTATTTTGAATAAAAAAATTAAACTATTACTTAATAAGAAAAACTATTAGTCAATAGATTTTGTTAATATTCAAAAGAAAATATAAAATTTCATTTCTTTAAGATATGCGTGTTTTGTTATTCTCTTGTTCATAAAGACACTGAAGTTTTACAACATAACTACTGAATTTACGTCAAATAAGCTGTGAACACGCCAAAGTTTTAAATGTTATTTTTAAGTTTAATATTTTGCAAAAAAAAAGAATGTATTATAGTTCAAGGATAAGACAAAAATAATTGCTCATTGAACAGTCTTGTTTTTCTTATAAATCCTAAAAGTTTTATTTTCAAGTTAATAATAATTATTCAAGACTGTGTGTTCATAACAAAGAATTCTTGGTGCTATTACAGTTATAAAATGCCACTTGTTTGAGAAATAACAAAATAACAAAACAAGATAAACAATGAAGAGACTT